CTGAGTGAAGGTTAAAGATGACGCTGCAACTAGTTGTAACTAATGACAAATAAATATCATAAGGTTGCAACTAATTGTAACATTAATAAAAATTGAGTTGTAACTAATTACAACTGGTGACAAATAAGCATCACATGGTTGCAACTAGTTGCAGTGCTATCTTTAGTAAAGGTCTATTGATATAGAAGTTGGGGTCAAAGCCAGTGATCATTGGACTATAATACAGATGGCAACTCTCGTTTAAAATTAATAATTATTAATATATATCAATTTTTCAATTTTTTAATTTTTAAAAATAATATATTATGTAATAATTATTTAAAAATAAAATTTAATTTATTAAATTTATCTTATTAAATAATAGTATTTTTATATTTTTAAGATTAATAAATAGCACTATATATGAGTTTAAAATTTTAATTTCTTTTAATAATAATTTATCTTTAAAAAATCACTAATTAATTATATATTTTTTTAATTTTTACTTAGAAAATAGCATAAATTTTATTATAAAAATATAAAAATAATTAAAAATGATTTTAATTAATAAATAAAATTACCTGCAAATTTGTAGATAAAATAATTAAAGGGAAAATTCTACAAATTTTGAGTTTATGATTAGTAGAATAAACTAATAAAAAAATTTTTTACTAAAAAGTGGATTCCTCTTTTCTACTGATCGCTTTCCATATAATTAATATAATTTAATTTTAATATTTTATTTAAAATTTAATAGTTTTAAAAAATTATTAATATTAATTATTTTTTAAAACTACTTTAAAATTATAAGTATATTTATAATAATATATATAAAAAAAAAAATCTATTAAATAAAAGAAATGCTTATAATGAAGATAAAAACTTTTTTAAAACGTTTTAAAAATAACATTTTCTCAAATCTGATTGAAATTTAGTAAAGATATTTATTAATCACAAACGGCTCTGAACTAAAATTAAGACCTTATTACTTTTTAATCTAATAACATCATTTTCCTAGCAATCTTTCCAAATATGTTAGGTATAATGTAACATATTTAAAAATTTAACCAATCAAATTCACGCTCCTCACATGACTTGTTAAACCAATTCGTCTTTTTTTTTTTTTGATATTTTGAAAAATCTTTTTTGGCTATAAATTAAGGTTGTACCGTTAAAAATATCGACAATCTATATATAAAGTGAACTTACAAAACAAATTTATCACTTTCGAAAATGCAACAAAGCACTCCCCCACAACACAATCGAATTTCACGAAATCAATCTTCGAAAAATCATTATACAAAACATCAACATTTAAATAAGCTCTCCAGATCATCTCCATACACAAAATCCAAACCTAAATTAAAATCAACATCGAAAAGATCTAAACAACTAAAGTACAAAGATGAATCATTGATCGAAGAATTGGATGATTTAGTAGGTGATTTACTATTTGACGACACCGCGAAGAAAATGGGCAGCAAGAACAACAGAGATATAGATATAGAATTACATAATGAAGAAAATTTGATAGTGGATATTGAAAATGCTGTAAATGAATTGGAAAATATTTTGTTGTAATCAACTTTAAATCAATTTTTTAATTAATGAATAAATGAAATTTTTTATAAACTTTATTTTGCTATAAATGTATTAACCAATATGATATGATTTATATATAATACAAAAAAAGAAATGATTATTTTTTTTTATGTAATATCTACCCAATTAAAAAATAAAGGTACTAAATTTTATCAAATAAATAAATAATTACAAGTAGGAATATTAAAAGTCACAACCACCCCAATCACCACCACAATCACCATAGCCACCTTTAAAACCACCGAATCCTTTAAACAAGGCATTACCGACAAACATACCAGCAGCCTAAAAAAAAGAAATATATATATATATAATTTACGTTAAAATTACTTACTTATTTTAGCTTTTAAAGAGAAAAGAAATTTAATTTTATAATAAAATAAAATAACTTACAGCGCCACCTAAACCCAATCCTAAACCAGTTCCTAACCCTAATTTTTTTTTTCCAGGTTTGGAAGAAGATAAGGCTCCGAGAGTAGCAGCAGTTCCTAAAGCCGCAACCGGGGTGACAGGTTTATGAGGTTTATTGCTGCTAATACCGCCCAATCCCAATTTATTCAAAAATTTATTAGATTTCTTTGGTTTGGCAGCAGCTGCTGATGTTGAGGACATTGAAGCATCACCGTATTGATTATATGGATTATATGAATTTGGCTGAGGCTGAAATGTCCCATTAGATGAATAAACCCCTTGTGCAGGATATTCTCCCTGAGGATATTTTGAATCTGAAGGAAATGGAGAGGATGCCGAATAACTGTCGTTATAAGAAGCGGGCGGGTATGGAGCTGGAGATGGCATGGCTGTAGGCATTGATGGCTTTTTACTGGTGGAATCATGGAGTTGAGAGTATGGAGGTGGTGCATCTAAATTTCTTGAAGGGTTATAAGCTTCCCTTGGGTCTTCCCAAGTACTTACTGGAGGATTTTTTGTTGTATCTAAAAAAAAAAATTATGAAATCATAAAATTATTCAACTTATTCTACCTGCTATTTCTTAATTAAAATATTGGTTGTTCTTATGATGTAATTACAAAATTTATACAACTTACCAACATAAAAGTAACTTCCAGCGCTTGCATCCCACTGTAAATATATAATAATAAACAAAAATTTTATTATTAGTAATCTTGGAATTCAAAGAAAAGTGTAAATGAAAGACAATTTACTTGTGAAACCCATCCTGGAGGTAAAGGACGTGTATCCATATTCAACGAAAAAAAAGGTTGACAAGTCAAAAAGGATTTTTATTTTATTTTTATTTTTTTTTTTTTTAAAAAAAAAATAATGTGTGAAGAATAATTAAAAAATATGGACTGAGAAACGAACAAGTACAGTATTTATAATTGGAAATGACCCAATGATTAAGTCATTTCAATGGAAATTCCATGGTCGATTACTCCTTGTAACAGACAATGTGCGCCAAAAACTTTTGAGAAATCTGTCAAGAACTCGCCAAATATATCAAAAACCATTTTAGTATGATATGCGAAGGTTATTTATATTAAATATAGTTAGTTTTATTGAGAATGTCACACATGCATATATATAAAGCCTATCTTAATGAAAAAAGAAAAAAGGAAATTTCCTAAAATATCTCACGTGTTCTCCACGGTGTAACCATGAGAGCAGTTATCATCGCTTCACTTTGCTCCTTTAATTCTCTCGTTACATTAACTTGTTTTATACTCTTGATATTTTATTTTCTTAACAAATATTATAAAATGACACCAGACTTGACATCAGGTAGTGAGGAAGATCCTAGAATAAGGAGAATTTTTCATGAACTTTGTAACCAACTTGCATATAACAGAGAACAAACTAGACAATTAAAAAAACAATCCAATGAATTAAAGGTACTTTTATCAATCATAACTTTTTGGCAAGTGGTTTACTTTAAATCAATTATTGTGTAGGATAAAGTAGAAGAGTATAACGGTTCTTTATTCAGACCAAGTTATCGAGGTATGACAACCTTTTTTTTTTTTGTTTAGCATATTTTTACTTAAATTAAATTATTTTATTTTAGGTCCACCATTTGACACCGGAACAGATATTGAACGACAGAATGCGCAATTGATTTATGAAAATCATATATTGAACGAAGAAAATGCGGAATTAACAGCGATGGTTAAAGATTATGAACAATCATTAAAAACGATCATGATGAGATTCAGATATCAAGCCGTAAATATAAGTTAAATGAATATTGGTTTTTTTTTTCTTTTTTTAAGGAAATAAATCTAATGAATTCATGTTTTATAAAGTATGAAATACAACAAAGTAAATTGGATATGCAACGAAATTATGAGATATTATTAGAAGAACAACGGGTAATTAGAAAAGGAATTTCCAATTATTAATCAAGAATTTAAATTAAATTTTAATTATTCTTCTTTAAAAGTCAACAACAGCACAGGTATTATCGGAGAATGCATCATTACAAACACACCTTTCAAATATAGGTAATTTAGTGAGGGAAGCGCATAATACAAATTCGGATTTGGAGACTGATATTTTATTAGAGAGTTTGGTCATTGAGAATCAAGGATTGAGACAAATGTTGGATATTGCAAATGGAATTGGACTACCGGCACCAACAATCATATCATCAAAAAAAAATATGACCCTGGAAGAGAAAGAGAAAGAGAATGGAGAAGTACGATCAACAGAAATTCACGATAGTAAGCTTTCTGAGTCAATTAAGGAGGAAGAAAACATGAAATCGATGGAAAAGACACTGGATTAGAACAAATTGACCGATGTTAATAATAGAATGATCTAATCAAATTTACAATCATCAAAAAGTTATTTTCTTTAATTTAATTTTTTTTGACAAAATGCATTACTGTATTATAATGTTCGCATCTTATGTAAGGTTCCATAAACCAGGGAATGGTGAAAATGGCAAAGATGTTCATAAATAGAATATTTCTAATTTTCTTCAAAACATGTTCTTGATCTTCTTTAGTTTTTTCTTCCTTTGAATTCATAGTAAAGTCCCAAATTATCAAAACTATCGCTTGAAACCAAAAGAAAGTGAATTGTTCTAAGGTTAAATATCTATTTGAAGAATATAAAAGATATTCATGTAAGATACCACTAACGGTAAATGCAGCCAAGACACCAAAAGATTTCTGTAATTTGAAAGGGGAAAAGGAAAGAATAGGTTTGTAACCTAATTCAACAAATAATACTTTTAAGCATTGATGCCACCTATTATTCCAAAAATCATTTGGATTTTTAGATAAATAAGGTTGATTATAGATGGGTTTTGAATAAAAAAGAAGAGAAATTAACCATAACTTGAAAGAATCTAATTGATCTTTGGTTAACTTTGTACATAATAAAGAATTTGGTGTTGAATAGATGTAAGATAATAAATATGATGATACAATAAGAGTTACCTCATAAATATAAATCATTGAAAAACATATCACACTAGCATAAATATAACAGTAGAATAATTCAAATAAAGAGATAAATGGAGTCCCATCATAAACGAATTTTATAACTCTAATGGGATAAGGGATATCCGAAACATCAGGTGCAAATGATTGTAAAAATTGAGCGCAGGAAATATAAATTATCAAATAGAAAAAACATTTTTTATAGTGATAATTGATGTATAAATTAAGTTCATCTTGAGAAATTCCTTGCTCTAAGAGATCTTGTTGTTTTGCGATCTGAATTTGACCTTCTTTTAACCTCCAATGAAATAATGACCATATAAAAGGTTTTACCGTAGCATTATCGTTCCGTTTTAAGGAAGATTTTAACCAAATGAACATTTTACTACTATAATTAAATGAGAATAATGCGATTGGAACATGAATTGAGGGAGGATAAATATTTGAAAATTTTAAGGGAAATATAAACAATGATAACATTGATAAGATCAATATTAATTTATGAAAGGTTGATCTAGGAGATGAAAATGAAAAGGAGGAAAAAATAATTAAAGGAAGAATGAAACAGAATAAAAAGTAAGTTGATGCGTTTATTGGGGGTGGTATTTTTGAAAAATATATAGTATTCTTAATACCAAAATAATTGATTAATAAAATTAAAAGTGTGATTAATGCCCGCTGCATTTTTAATTAATATTAAGGTTTAGGTTTATAAAGGTTGATTGATTTTAATGGGTTTTTTTTTTTTTTAAAAAAAAAAAAAAAAAGGAAGAGAGAAAAATTTCGTTTTATTGTAACCCATTACATTGTTATTGTTATTGATAAAAAAAGATGCATTTTTGTTTATAGTTGAATTTTTATTGTGAATGGTAAATCATGTGATATCAATATTTTGATTTAAATTACTTTTTATGAATATGTTGTGTTCAACATACACGGAAGTTCTTTTTTATCTGGGACCTCCACTTAATTATTTTCCCATTTGAGTTCCCTCTCTCCTCCTGCTCGTTCTTTTGGATATTTGGATTCGCTCCGTAGTCTTTTGGACGGTATGCTACGATTAACCGGTGATTCTTCGTGTTGAACTTCTGCTCTTTGGTAATACTAAAAGGAATTTATCCCACAATAAATATAAATTTACATCATGAAATATCATCATCCGCCGCCTGAAGACAGATTTGGGTACCACGCGCTTACAGGCCCAGATGTTGATCGAACATTTGCCTTGATCAATTCTCGGATCGTTATTGATGATTTAAATTTTATCAGATTAGTTTAAAAAAAAAAAAAAAAAAAATTAATTTTAAAATACGTTCCTTAAATGGTAATGATAAATTTTATTAATTATTAAAAAATGTCTGAAGGTAAGTGACATTAAATTGTATGATTTAACTTATTATTATCATGATTATGATGATGTTCATACTTTTTTTTCCCGATGAAAAGAACGGGTATTTTCAGCATCCAATACCGTACAAACGGGAACCAAACCACCGAACCACCATTCAACTTTACACTTTTTCCCATTCTCGTAAAGCCAATTATATAAGGTTAACACCACCAGTAAATATAAACCAGAACTTGCTAAAATATGCCACACTGCGTGTAATTGAGGGTTAAATGGGAGTATACTCTTTTCTTCACCATTCACATAATCGCACAAATATAAATCTATCAACCAGGTCGTGCTAGCTAGAACGTAAATCATTACACCCCTTTCAAATAATAATTTAATTGAAGGGTGAGATACTTTCTTGCTTGAATAGATACGATACATTAATAACATGCTAACAAGCTCTATGCTACAAAATGATGTGAGAAAGAACGTGACTTGTAATGCACCAGTTGATATCGTTATTGATGCGGTACAAAGGATCGCATGTAAGATCAACAAGATTGGCAACCATAATCCTTTTTTACCATAATTCGATTCTATTAGTGAGTGAAGAATTGTTAATGCTGACCAAACCATTGGGACCTTTAAAAAAAAAATTACGTGATTAAAAGATGATAAAGGAGATTAATCTAATGAACTTACAACGGCAGAGAAAATGGAAATACCTCATCAAGAGCTTGCATTTGACTTGTAAGGGTACCGTGAAACAGTAAGCTCCCTATACCAACAACGGACACTAAACGAAACGCTAATCGAAATCGAAATGATTCACATGAATTAACCCTTGCTCCAACTTCACCAAACATTATCATTGCCACACTTGATAATGAATTCCAAAATCTATTTAAAAAAGAAAAAGTATATATTTATATATATATATTTTTTTTTAAAAAAAAAATTATAATTTAAAAATCCAAAAAGATAAAAATAAAATCACCACTCACTCCGCAATGTAATAAGAGTGTTCAAAATTCTTTTCACACCAGTCTACTGAACTTGTGATCGGCCAAAGACCAATCTGTTCATTCGGTGATTGAATAGTCATAATGGTAATGACAAAATGTTATTTAAATGAAAAAAAGAGAAGATCGAAAAATATTTTAATTATTCGAGAATTTGAGCAGGTATTTATTACATTTATTTATGAAGCTTAATTCGGTAAAGCGTTTTTTTATTTTCGGAAAATCGATCAATTAATTTAAGATTTAATTTAAGGAAAATGCGGGATCTCCCGTTTATTACCAATTAAAGGATTATTCGTGAGAATATTTAGCGTAACTGATTTGCGTATGAAACATCCCTGTTGTATAACTTATACATCTTGATTAACCGCAGCTTTATCCCATAATTTTACGTAATTGTTCCAAATGAATCACCATCCGAACGCAATCCTATTTTATTTGAAATCATTCACAAATGTCATTTAAGCTCATGGAGTCGCAATACAATTAGCGAAAAATCTCTTCTAGTTATTTTTTGATGAATGAATTTGCGCTTAATGAAGCTTTAGAAAATATTTTTGGTTTTAGTAAAAAACTTTATACTATAGAATTAAATTGGTGTAAAGTACGATAAATCATATACATTTTATTTTACACAATATACAAGATTTTTTTTATTATTATTTCTCGCGGTCAGGTGATTGAATTGTTGTTCAAAAATTATTGTATTAGCAACAATCAGTTCCCACGCCTTTTTCTTCCTCTTTAGATGTCATGATGGTCCTAAAAGTTAAACTTACCCTACGATCTCTTATAATCTCATCGCCATTATAATATTCTATGGCATCCTTGGATATGGAATGTTTATAGTCAAATCTACTTGATTTTGTCATGATCAATAAAGATCTCGGTCCTGTATTAAAAAAAAGGCGAAGGTATTAATAAAAATGCCAAGGATTGAAATGAATTGTAATGTGTACTTGCTTAATAATACGATTGATTGATTGGAGGAGTCTTGTGTATGTGTAAATGTCATTAAACATGGTGAGAGCAATGAGAGACTTAATATAATAGGACCAAAAAATTCCGTTGAATCCACATGTGCCATAATTCCTATTTGGGAAAGATATTAGGTGAGAACCTTTTTTTTTTTAATGGAAAAAAAAAAAGGATTAATTTTAATCACCTTGACCAACTTGATATTCATTTACTATACACATATTAGGATATTCCATTTCGGAGAGTTGAATGATTTTCTGTTCAACGAACCTTGCGATTATAAAATCCAAAAATGTTGGTAATGCGCCCAAATTCTGAACTACTTTCCTAGATGGTTCAAGATTTATTATTTAAATTTATTTTTGTAAAAAAAAAAAAAGCGGGATCGAGTACCTATATCTATAACTGAATTCATATCCATATTGTTGTGTTCTCCGCCTCATTTCTGGATTTGGTCTAAAATGGAAAAAATTCATTATATCATTACATGAAAAGAATTAGCTTTTGATGTGATCATATCACGAGTTAAGGGGCTTGAATTAGGAGTAAAAAAAAAAAATTTTTTTCAAATTTCGATTTCTATCCCCGGTGATAACATCATCGTTATAAAAAAAACAATAAACAAAAGATATAAATACATATATATATATATATACTCACGGTATTCCATTCCCAGACCATTCATGCAAATCAATAGAATTAATAAGTTCAATTTCTTCTTGTTTCGTAATAAAATCATCAATTATATATGATCCATCAACAGGTGAATTTAATGAAAAATTTGATATTCCCGTCACTGGCGAAGTTATGGACGATAATTTAGCTTCGTTATGAGAGATCAAGTGCTCCGATGATTTCATATTTTTAAAGTAATGAAGAGAGTAAAGAGAAAAAGGAGAAAAAGCGAAAAAAAGTGTCCTATAAAAAAAGTCTCGACTTTTTTTATAGATAATCATCGTGTGTTACAATGCACTTGTGCACTGACACGCTTCTATATTCTGATTGGCTTATTACATATCTGATTTAACTCCTTTTTTGTTTTCTCAAACCGAAAAAATTTCCAGTCATGTCAACTTCACTTGGACATTCACTGTTCGTACATCTAATAATTTTATTTATCTTCTTTGATCATACCGCAAGAAATATTTTACTTACATAATTTCATATATCTCTTTTAAAACTAAACCTGCTTTAATTGAATAATAGAACTTTAACAATACCTTTTCCTTCTTCAAGACTTGCAAGTATAGCAGAACGTACTCTAAATGTTGATAAGGAACTTAAAAGTGATCAGGTTAAACGAATTATTTCAACCGATGATGATAAATTAATCGTGTATGTAAAAAAAAAAACAATTCCAAAATTTCAAAATTTATTTATTTTTTCTGTTCCAACGTTTTTAATAATTTTAAAAATTTAATTTATTAGTACATTTGATTGTGCGAGTGTAAAATTACTTCGAGTTTCAGTTAATTCTTTACTTGATATGATAATTATGATTACGAAAACCATGGATGCCTTTGACGGAATGGAATAAATAAAAAAGTTTTAAAAATTATTTAAATTGAACTTTTTAATTGAAATTTTAGTTGTTAAACGGGACAGAGCATTTGACATAAACAACAAATTTCGAATTAACGGGACACCTAATGTAAAGATGTAAAAAATATCGAGATTTCGAATTTTTTTTTATGCGTAATCATTCAATATGTAGATGTTTTACTACTCTAAAAAGTTTTTATTCAGTTAGCATTAAACAATCTTGCTTTAAAATATACTAATACTAGGTGCTTTCTTACAATTTTAAGCAAACAATTTTTAAACATAACTAAGAAATGAACCAATAGAGAACCAACCCTCTTACAAAAAAAAGAAAATATTACAATTTTCCTTTAATGATTTTTACATTCCTTTTCTTTTCTTTTCCTTCATCTGGAGATTTCTTGGGTACTTTAACAATTAACTCGCCATTATTTAATTCGGCTTTAATGCCTTCAGCATCAATACTATCATTTTGAAATTTCAAACTACGATGTAATTTTCCTCGAACGACCCAACTTTCTCTTATTATCGCATTCTCCCTTCCTTCATTTTTTTTATCTTTATCTTTTTCATCTATTAAAGGACGTTCGGCCTGAATGGAAAGTACTCCATCATCAGTAATTTCAACCGATATTTTATCTAGCGGAATACCGGGTAACTCTGTTCGAATTATATAGTGTGTTGAAGTACTTGAAACGTTTAACGGAATTGAATTAAAAGCAGAATTGGGGCGTATTAAAAACGGTAAAGCGCGTGGTAATTCATCGAAAAATTCATCAGATAACAACATTTTTACGAGTGCTTTGCGGTGAGAAAAATGAGAGTCGACATGTTTATATAAAAAAATCCAAATAAGTTTTTTTACCCTAAACAATGGGACCTTTGCAATAGAAAAGGGGTTAATGCTAAATCTGAACATAATTTGACCTAAAAATCATATTTGGCTCATATTGATTTTTTCAGCCTTTCTATTGTTAAGGTTCCACATTGTAAAATGGAAATTACTAGAAATTGGTGGCAAAGGTTACTGCGCCGTATGCAATATATATATATTTTTTATTTTTGTTAAATAATTCAAATAATTGGTACAAAATTTTTGTTTAAAAGAATAAATTAAAAGAAACACCAAGGTCAAAAGGTAATTTACAAAGCCAAATAAGATGAGACCATGCCCAATCCCAATAATAATATATTTCCAAGCTCAGTTGAAGCAGCAGAATTGGCATCGGGTGTTGCGCTTGCGTTTGAATCAGGTTTAGCGGCGGTGCCTTCAACGGCTTTTGTTTTCTTTATAAAATAAAATAATGTTAATTGGTTTCATAAAAAAAAGAAAATCAAAATTCTTTTTTTGTTAAAAGAAAAACTTACAGCTGCGTCTTTGCCTTTTGGTCCATCAGCTTCTTTAGTTTTTGGAGCGTATGGAGCTTTGGCATCAGCTTCTTTTGGGTTCTTTGCATTAGTTTCTGGAACGGCATTTGTTGGAGTCTTTGTTACAGCTTTTGGAAGTGATTTGGGATCAGTTCCTTTTTTAATAATGGTAATTGGGCCAGAATAAACCCAAGGTAATAAATTTGCTTCTTCAACGGTGACAGGTTCAGGATCTCCCTTCAATTTTGATCTTAGTCTTACAATATAATTTGTTCCTTCCGGATATGTTTCAAGTAAATTCCAAATAAATTTGACCTCACGAGCTTTAGCGATAGCGTCGATAGTATCAACGTATCTAAGTAAATTATTCGTTAGTGTTCATATGTGTATATTTTTTTTTTACAAAATTAATTTTGTAAAACGCGTAATACTTACAAAAAGTCTTCGCGACCGGTACCAGTACCCAATTCGATGTGAATTAATTGTTCAGGTGGTTGTGATTCAATGGGACCCTTAACATTACATGACCAAGAAGCGGTCTGAGGTTGACCCATTGTCCATACTGTATTTGGAGCAGGTTCAACAATTTTACAGGTTAACCTCTCTGTAGGTTTACCTCCTCCTTTACCGTTTGCTTCTTTTGCTTGAGGATCGGCTAGACCTGTAGCTACGATGCAACTAATGGCAAATAAAGCTTTATACAAAATCTTCATTTTTTTTTATTTTATAATTTTTTTAATGGTAAATGAATGATAAAAAGGTTATTCTAGAAAAGGGAAAGGAAACGAAGGGAAGAAGTAAATTCTATGCTAAAGAATGAATGCAAAGAAGCTTAATCTTTTATTGTTTGGGAAATTAAATGTGAAGATACGGAAGGGAGAGGAAAGAGAGGGACGATGGTTGATTAAGCTCATCTGAGGTGAAATCCTCCGGTTTATGTACTTTTTTTACAACCGAAGAGGCGAAAAACGTGATTGGGTGATCATCGCCGAGTATTTTCTGTGTTTCTGCGGTGTTACTTTTAATCTTTTCCACGTTTAAAATTTTATTGGTGTGTTCGTTCATGCAAATGTTTTATTCTTGTCAGCCGGATTTACATTAAAACAAAATATATAATATAAAAAAGCGAACGCGAAATTAAATCGTTGAGTATTTGAATCTTTTTAAGATTATTTTTTGATCACAAGCATACTGTATTTATTAATTTACATATGAAAAGGTAATGTGAAATAAATTACCTTTTTGATATATTTTCGTAGTTAATTTTTTTTTTTTTTCCTAAAATTGACATTTTAATACGTAATCACAACTAAAATAATAATACAATTAAAAATTCTGGTATTACGGATATGATGTTTCATGTTTTATTAAACGCCCAAGAAGAACTTTCTTTTTTTTTTCTTTTTCTTTTTTTTCGTTTTTACATAGAATCAACTTAAGGACTCATTCACGCATAACGCAAACCAATATTTTTTTTTTGTTGTGTAGATAAGGATTGAAGCAAAACTTTTGTTCCCATTGGGGAGAGACAATTTTTACCCTTCAGTAGGTAATCGCTTCGGGATTATACGACATACATTTTTTGTTACATGATCCTCCAAAAAGAGTTAAAACATATTACTCATATACAAATCTAATTCGACCGTATTAATTGTATTCGAATGAGTTGATTTAGTTTTTAATTGTTTATGAGGTGGTGAAATTAATTATTTCGAATGATTTATTTGTCAAACCTTTTCATATTCCGTGCGGCTCAGTCTAGTTAGTTTTGAGCGAATAAACTCGAAATTTCATGGTTCCCAATTATTATTAGTCCAATTAGGAAAGTCTTGACATCATTTAGCGTTTACATTCTTTTTTTTACAGCTTAAGACTTTATTTTATTGATAACTTTTTACAAAGTCACCTACTTCATATTTAAATAAAAATAAAATCGTAAGAATATGGAAATCGTTAGTTTTTTTTTTTATCGCAGAAGGACGGGAGGTTTGTTCAAGTTCAGAAGTTGGAATTATCAACTACATATCGTCATTTTCCATAAACGTAAAAACGGATTATTGATCGATTGCAGTAGATGCACCACATCAATTACAAGTATCACAGAAATATTAAAACTCATAAGAGAAGCTTTTGATAAATACAAATACATAAAAAAAGATTTTCGATATTACATAATAAAAAAGCTGAAAATCATAAATGATGTTGCTAACTTTCGACCTTTGTTCAATTTTATTACGGGAGCAATGCAATGCACCCAAGATATACTTGTATACCCACCACCATGAACACTTATTTGTAGCTAATATCTTAAAGGACCAATGATTTAATCCAAGCAATAAAGAAAAAGTTAAAAACGCTACAAGTGTTGAACACAATTAACATTTATGTTTGGCGCATTTATTAATGACATAACCATTGTAATGAAAAAGAATATTTTAATAAAAAATCCATTCCAATTTGTATTTTTGTTTAATTTATTATTTTCTCGTGTATTTTGATATTATTGAATACATATGTCGATAAAACGAATTAAACAAGGATTATTTATTTATTTTATTTTTTTTCATACAAATAAATACTTGTCTTATATAAAATTCCTATTAACAATTCTCTTTAAAATTTTCATCAATAACAATTTTACAAGTTAAACATCTGTCAATCCTGGAAAACCTTTGAAAATTTCCTGATCCCAATATATTAAGTCGGAAATGAGCCTATAGCGATAATTGAAAATTTTAAATATAATTATTAATCAATCATTATAAAAATAAATTCCAATTTACCAAATTGCTCCGCCAATGCCTTCATAAACGGACCAAGGTTTATCGGAATGACTAAATTCTCCTTGTTCGACTTTTTCCTCCCATTGAGCACAGATATTGGCATATTCCAAAGCATATCGTAAATATTTGTGATCCTCGGTAAGTTTATAAACCGATAAAAATGGATACGCATTTCCGGAAATTCCATGGCATAATCCTACTCCTTTACGCGTTTTTCCATGTAAATATATATAATCTGCGATTTCTTCAGCGAGATCTAAATATCTAAATAAATATATTATTTATGAATTCTCTCATTGGATTAAAAAAAAAAAATTTTTTTTTTTTTTATTTAAAATACTTACTCCTTTTCTTTAAATACTTCATATGCTTTACAAGCCAAAAAACAAATTCCAGTAGCTCCATGACAGAATTGAACCAAATTATTATTGGGTTCAAACAGGGTATGAGGCCAATTTCCATTTTCTTGACGACTTTTGAACAAGATAAAGTCGGTAGTATTTTTAATTTGACCAAAGTGTTCTTGACATTGCTCCGGGAATTGTAACAACATGGTTAGTATTCCAGCGAAACCATGAGCGGCCCCAACGTAAGGTAAATCTTGCCACGTCCAAAATAATGGTGTATAACCTGTTGCATTACGGTTTACTGCCGTCCTTTTCCCGTCTTCGATGATACTTTCAATCACGCTAGACACGATTTGCGACGTCGGTGGTTCCTTTTTCGGGTCAATTAAACCGGATATAAGTCGCTCGGCATACAAATACCCGGCACGACCGTGTAGTAATTCGCTCGGTGTTTTAATTGAAAGTGCCGACTGAATAAGGGTTTGATATCATTAGTGTGATCAATTATTCCATTCGAAATTAAAATCCAAGAGTAAAAGACGCGTTACCTTGGAGAAATGCGATTGTATCAAGTTGAGATATCTATGCGAAGATTCTTGGTCTCCGGTATGATGTTTAACTAAGAACGCAAAAGGGTCAGGGAAGGTAAGGCGCAGAAAACATGGTACAAAACGAAAAGGCTAACCATGAGCCGCTACGGAGTATAATCCGACAGCGGTAGAGAGAAAACCGCACTCGTGTTCAATAAATCCGGGCAAGCCGGCTTCGCTAGGTGTATTATGAAGTTTCATGTGTGATGAAAGAGCGTTATCGATGTACTCATCTGCGATGGTCAGTGCACTTTTTGGGCCAAACATCACCCCTGTAAAAGATTTGGGATGTGACGAAGAATTCATTTTTCATTTAATGATAACGATAACGTAACGTATTACGCAAACCTGGGTCACATTCATGAACTTTCATGAAAAGGAGCGATAACCCGGCCATTCCTATAATAATAAAAAAAAATTGACGTTTTTTGTAGAATCCGAATAAAAATAACCAAATCACCAAAGATTGTACCTGAATAAACATCCCAATTTTGAAAATTACTGTTTGGCGGAACCTGTTCCAAGATTTTATCAATCAGTTTCAAAAAGGCAGTATGTAAAATTGCAGTGTCTTTATTAATTGACATTTTGTTTATATCTTTTCATAGAGTTGAATTGTGAATGAAATGAAAGAGAAAAAAGGCTAATGGCCTGATCCCTTATATTTTTAGCATATAATTGCGCCAAATTAGAAGAAACCATACCATCTCTACTAGGGTTATGAAATCGATATGACGTTTTATGATGAGCATGTAGCACATTTTTTATTCAAAAGAAATTTAGAAATTTTCTATATATGGATTACTGCGTCGTGCCAACTACGCCAAAGGAAAAAATAAAAAAATAATGCTATCCCGCCTATATTTTTTTACATTCAATTCCAAATTGATTTGGATCCTGAGATAAAGCACAATAAAAACCAAGATTTTGCATATGAGCAAAGATTTCTTTTTCATCCAATTCATTCAATTTTATACAACTAACTTTGACGGCATCATCTTTTGTCCTGCAAAGAACGTTTTTTGGATCGATAACGTATTTCGCAGAATCATCTTCACGCACAAATTTTTCAAGATACATTAAAGCCTTCTTTTTATCTTCGGCTGTATATGTTTTGTTTTCAGAATTCTTGTCCATGGTTAAAAAAAGATTTGTCGTCGTAAAAATGAACTATAATTTGACTAATTTAGTATCAAAACTAAAAGTAACTTGCTTACGATAATTTAGTTAAGAACAAACGAACCTGATTTAAGATTTGCGAAATTAGGTGAAATCACATTTGATGTATCGAGGCTATATATATTTTATAATGGTGCTATACCAAAATAAGGTTACTTATTATTTTTATTGCGTAATATAAAGTAAATAAATATATATTTATATATAAGATCGGGTTCATCTTGCACAAATTTTGCATCATCAAGCATTCGATTTACTGGTTCTTTGCTCAAGATCTTTTTTTATTGAAATCAATCAATAAATATTTCATTTCATCCAAAATTGTTCAAATTCAATGAGTTTAAAGTTGAATGAATTTCTCTCGATTCCTGCAAAGTTCTTTGCGGCGCAGTAGTAGCTGTTTAATTAACAAATTTAGCAATACTCCATACCATTTATATAATCCCAGTCTAATATCTCAATTTAGGTTTTCCACCAATAAACTTACTACATCTACTGTATTATCAACTGCAAGAAATATGTCAACCAACAATTTAAACAGGTTATCTAACGAAAAAAGTCCTTATTTGTTGGTAAGAAATTTTTTTTTTTTTGGGTTTGAAATAAAAAATGATTTTTTTTTTTATTTTATTTTTTTTTGAATTTGTATGTTATAGCAACATGCCGATAATCCTGGTAAGAATTGTTTCATTCTTATTGTTGAATATAATAATAAATATCTTTATCATTTTTTTTAAAAAATTTTATTTTGATAAGTCGACTGGTTTCCATGGGGCGAAGAAGCCTTTCAGAAGGCCAAAGAGGATAATAAACTAATTTTTTTGAGCGTGGGTTATAGTACTTGCCAGTATGTTTTTTCGACAAAAAAATTTTTTTTTCCTTTTGATTCATTCGATGATTTTATAATTAATAAAATTTTGATTTTGAACACAAGTTGGTGTCATGTGATGGTATGCAAATTTCATTATTTTTATTCTCAAAACTATAAATCCGTAATTCAATCATGTTTTTGTATTTTTGTTTTAGGCTCATGAATCATTCGAGAATGAGGCTATAGCAAAGATTATGAACGATAATTTTGTGAATGTTAAAGGTATGAAATCATTCCATCTTTTTGCTTTTTACTAAGCATATCTACAAAATTATGAACTAACTTATTTAAATAATTATAAAGTCGACAGGTATGACTATATTATATTACATGGGATTTTTGTGAAATTCGCATGTTTAATATTATTAATATCAGGGAGATTCAGCCTGATGTGGATCGCATGTATATGGTATTTTATCTTCTCTTTTATAAAATTAAATAAATAAAATATTCGGAATTAACAACATTTTTTTTTTTATATTTGAAGATTTTCGTCCAATCGTTAACCGGTGGTGGCGGATGGCCGATGTCCGTTTTTCTAACGGTGAGTCCTATATTTGTTATACATCATTGAATTTAAACATTTTTGACGATGAAATAAATTTCAATATTGATTTTTATCTTTATCGAATCAGCCCGATCTATATCGTATGTGTTAAGTTTGAAGCGTAATATTTATAAAAATTTCGGAGAATTGATTTTGATTTTTATTATATAGCCGTGTTTGGTGGCACTTACTTTCCTCCGGAGGATCAACATGGAAGGTGAATTGTTAACGTTAAGAAATTTAATGAAAAAAAAAAAATTTAACGCGTTTTTTTTTTCAAAAAAAAAATAATCCAGACCTGGATTCCCATCGTTGCTTAAACGCATGGCTTCATTGTGAGTAAATTTTTCGCATATCAAAAGCATTCACTTTCATTAAGATAATTATTAATTTTTTGATTAGATGGAAAGAACAAGGAGAAGCTTTAAAAAAAGCTGGAGTGGACACTATTGAAAAATTACGTGAATTGACACTTGTGAGAATATACATTTTTATTTTAATGGTTTATCTTCTTTTTTTTTTCATAGATAATCATAGTAATAAGAAATTTTTATCATTTTAATAGCAAAAATTTGAGGGTCAAAATTCGCAATTGAACATGAAACTTGCGCATAATGTACATCAATATTTCATTAGTTCATTTGATTCTGATGAAGGTGGTTTTGATGGTAAATTACGCGTCAAAATTTTTTTATTTTAATTTCTTTTTTTTTTCAGAGATCAAATTAAATTTATTTTAAAATTTTCTTATTATAAAGGTGAACCGAAATTCCCAACTCCAGTTCAATTTCACTTTTTGTTTCGTCATCATTATTATATACTATCAGAACTTGGTAAAGCTGAAGAGAGATTTGCTATAATGTCGATTCAAGAAATTAAAAAACGTGGACATTCATTAGGAATCGATTTTAAAGACTGTGATAACGAAGCACAATATTTAAATAAATTACAAACTGTTGTGAATAGTCGAAAGCAAGCTGCGAAAAAAGATTTAGATATGGTGACATTTACTCTGAAGGTATTTGAAAGTGAAATTTTTTTTTTTTTTTTATATTTTATTAAACTTTTTTTTCTTTGTTTAAAGAAAATTGCCATGGGAGGAATTCATGGTATGAACAAATCTATATGATAACAAATTTATATATAATACATAGGCCAATTATTAAATGAACTTTAAAATGGTTTAGATCATATCGGAAATGGATTCCATCGGTAAGTATTTTAATTATGGATTATATTAAATTATAATTGTCTTAATTCTTGCTCCAAAATTAATTTTTCCTATTAGATATTCCACCGATAAATATTGGCACGTGCCTCATTTCGAGAAGATGGTAGGACATCAATAAACATCATCACATTTGACTTTAAATGTATAAAATATATCTCATTAATTATAATAAATAGCTTTATGATCAAGCTCAATTATTGATGAGTTACGTTGAAGTATATTTACTCACCAAAGATGAGTATTATGCTGAGGTAAATTATGACACGTTAAACGCGTAAACTTTTAATTGAAAATTATTACTAATTATCGGTAATTATCTTAGGTGGTGCGTGATATCGTAACATACGTTGAACGAGATTTAAGGGACCACGAAGGAGGAGGATTTTATTCAGCTGAAGATGCAGATTCTTATCCTCATGAAGGAGCCAAGCATAAATTGGGTGAGTTGTTTTTTTTTTTGTTCCAACATCATCTGCGAATTAATCTAAAGTAGTTACCATGAAAATAAAAGAGGGTGCCTTCGCTGTATGGGAAGCATCAGAAATTAAGGAAATTTTGGGAGATAAGAATTCGGAAATATTTTCGTATCATTTTGGAGTTGAACCTAATGGAAATGTTGATCCCAGAAAAGATATTCAAGGCGAACTGAAGAAAAAAGTATGTAATCTTTTTAAACAATCTTTTTTGAAGCATTTGGCATATTTTTTTATAAAAAAATTTTAAAATGTAATAGAACGTTTTGATTGAGCGTCATACTCCTAAAGAAACGGCCAAGAAATTTGAAATTTCGCTTGATGAAGTAAAAGTTATTCTTTCTGAATCCAAAGAAAAACTTGCGAAATATCGATTTGATAAGAGGCCTAAACCTCATCGAGATGATAAAATTCTCACCTCTTGGAATGGTACTTAATTTTTTTTAAACTTTTTTGGTTTTTTTTAGTATGATTTATTAACATGTTTTATAGGATTGTTGATTTCTGCTCTTGCACGGGCTTATGATGCGATACGTGACGAAAAATATCGTGAATTAGCTGAGGGCGCTGCAAGGTTTATCAAAGATCAATTATATGACTCTGGCAAAAATAGATTGTTACGAAGCTTCAGAGAAGGACCTGGTGAAGTTGAAGGATTTGTGGATGATTATAGGTAAGGAATCTTTTATTATCGTATAATAAATCAACTGTCAACTCATATAATTCATATAAATTTAAATTTTACCAGTAATTTAATTGAAGGTAAAAAACTTTATTAAGGGTTATTATTTACATAGGCTTAATTTAATTCCTTGTCATTTAATTAACTTTTCACTTTTTTTAGGTTTACTTGATCTTTATCAGTCAACCTTTAACGAATCTTATCTTGCATGGGCAATTGATTTACAAGATCAACAAATTACGTTGTTTTATGATGAAGAAGGTGGAGGCGGTTTTTACAATGTAGGAAAAAACAACAAAAACATCTTGGTTAGATTGAAAGACGGTGAGCATGTTTTCTTTACATTGTATGTTTATATATATATGTCTGTTATATTAACTTTATTATTGTATTTCTGTTAGATCATGATGGAGCCGAGCCATCAGCGTAAGTGTCCAAGTGTCCTCAAGACAGTTTTTCATACTCTAATACTATAAAATTTTTATTTAGTAATTCGGTTTCAGTTAGCAATTTGCTTCGACTTGGTCATATTGTTGATAAAGCAGATTATAATGCTAAAGCCGAACAAACTTTGAAATATTTTGTTGAAAGGTTGGAGAAAGTCCCTTACGCTATGCCAGCAATGGCTGCGAGTTTGATGTTATATTTGAAAGGAATTAAACAGGTAAGATTGATACAAATAGAAATTTCTTTGCTTTTCATATCAATTAGTTTTAATTGACCATATTACAATATTTAGATAATTTTTGTTGGATCGGAACAAGAAACAATTGTTCAAAAGTATATTGATATAATTAGAAATAGGTTTATGCCAAATAAATTTTTGCTTAAAGCAAAAGAAAATGGGGAGGTATTAAATGAAAGGTGCGAAGTGATCAAAAGTATTTTGCAAGCAGAAAGTGCACCTTCAGTTCATATATGTGAGAATTTTACCTGTGGTATGCCAATTAGTGATGTGCATGAATTGGAAGAAAAATTAGTTGAATCGTAAAGAAATTAAGTTGGTAAAGTTTGGAAATAGTTATTTGTTAAAAAATCTTCATTTTTTTTGTTTTAAAAGGCAAAAGTCTGTATATTGCTTACCTTTCTGATTTTTGGAAAGTTTCGTTTTGATTGTAAATCAAAAGATTTTATTTTCATTAATAATACGTTACAAAACGAATAATTGTGACTTATGGTGCTATAGCAATTGCTTTGATTTCAATCAATAATTTTGGCTACATTGAAAAAAATAATTCTGTTTAAATGTTTGGTTAAAATAATGAAATTTTCGAAAAAAAGGTTAAAGAATATGCTCACCGAAGGTAATTCTGAAACGGCGACAGTAGTTCTACATGGACCAGTTTTTGCATCAAAAAATTGGTTATAAACTTCATTAAACCCATCGTAATCATTCATATCTTTCAAGAATACTGTCAAATCAACTAGATTATTTAATGTCGCTCCTGATGATTTTAATATCGATTCAATATTTCGAATAACTGCTTTTGTTTGTTCTTTAATGTCCAATTGGAAACCACCATCCGGAAGCTCTTTTACCTTTTTAATTTCAAAAAAAAAAAAAAAAAAAAAACAAAAAAAAACGAAAGTGAGGTGGATTTAAACTAATAAAATATTATAAATTTACAATTATTTTTTTTTTTTTAATTACCCCTTCATATCTGGAAATGATAAAATAAAAATTAATAAATAGGTAAAAAGTAAAACCTTTTTTTTTTTTTTTTTTAACTATATCTTACGTATTATCAAAATTTCTTGAAGAAATGCCCGAAACAAAAACAAAACCTCCAACAATTCTAGAATGAGGGTAATTTGCTAAGGGCCTAGCTCTATCTCCTGCTATAACCGCTTGTCCGTTAGGAAAATTCATCGATTTCGATGTATCTTGTGGCATTTTAAGAGGAGAAAATTTTTTTTTTCCTGATCCGAATTTATGTTGGAACACAGATAATTTCTTGTAAAATTATTGGCTGTTGAAAATTCTCGTTTTTTGTTCGATATAAAAGTAACCTGTTTTTAATGTCAAAAAGTTCGAGATAATCTACGTACGAGACTTATGTTTCTATTTTTGGAAGAATTTCTGTGAATTAAATGCAACGTGTAAAATAAATAGGTTACACGAAATACACACATATATATACCTGTTGCGTCCAAAGTACAATACCTCTTAAAGCGAACATGGAATCCTTTACAGAATTGAAAATTTTTAGAAAAGGAATGCTATATGGTAGAATACCTGGACTTAAAATTAAAAAAGCTAAACCAATAACATATGATGATTATGTTATGCTTGAAAGTAATGTTAAGACATATCGTATGAATGAATTAATGCAATTAGGAAGAAATTTAAAATATAATAAACCTATTGGTCAATTTTTGGTTGATAAAATTTCAGTTTTTCACTGTTCAGTAGATCATGAAAGTTTAAATAGAGAAAATTATAAGGAAATTATCCTTATTTGGTAGAATTAGAAGCGAATATGTATCGAATTGGAAAATTTATTGGTATCATTTCAAATCTTGATAAATTAATTGAAAATTACGTTGATATGAATACTTTGAAAATTAAAGATGATATGAAAGTAAGATTCGATAAATTATGTTCAATTCATAGAGTGAATTATTTTCCTTGTGAATTTCGTCTTAGGATTGATCCTGAAGTTGGAAAAACTAAAAAAGAAATCGAAAATATTTATTATAAAAGTGTTAATGAAACTGAAGAGGTTTATTATTATTATTATTATTATTTATTTTATATTTCTTATAACAACTAATTTATAATGAATTGATATATTAAAGGTACTTAAGAAATTGTATGGTACAGGTGATAGTACAAGTAATGAGTAATGTCTCATGTTAACAGTAATATAATTTAGGTAATTATATAATAAATAAATAGCATTGTTTTTTTAATAATTATAGAAAATTTAATAAATATAATTTAAATAATTTTGTAGAAATAATGGATTGAAAAAAAGAAAATATATTTAGATAGTTTATAAAAATGAAAAAAATTTTAATTTGGAATCAAAATTAAAGGTAAATAATATAATTTATTTTTTGATCTTACATTATTTTCTTGTAAATTGTAATTAAAAAAAAAAATCTTTAAATATATATTATGGTGATCATTTTAATAAATTAAACTTTGTAATTTATTAATATATGTAATAAAAATATTCTTATAAATCAATTTAAAATAAATTTAATATTAATTATAGAGGATTAAACAAATTATAAGAGAAGATGCTTACCTTTTACCCAAAATTAATAAAATATTAGAAAACTTAAATGAAGTAAAATGGTTCTTAACATTTAATTTAGCTAGCAGATTTTAGCAAATTAAAATGAATCCTAAAGATAAAGAGAAAGTAGCATTTATAATTAAAGATGGATATTATGAATTTCATATTATGCTCTTTAATTTATGTAATACTTCAGCAACTTTTTAAAAAACTATAAATAAAGTATTAAAGAAATATATTGATTAATTCATAGCAATTTTTATAAATAATATTATAGTCTAATTAAATAGTTTTGAAGAATATTTAACAAGTTGAGAATAGTGAATCTAGCATTAAATAAAAAGAAATGTAAAATATTTAAAAGAAAATTACAATTTTTAGAATATAAAATTAATGAATATAGTATTCTATCTAAGTCTTAAAAAATAAGAAAAGTTTAAGATTTTTCTATATTAAGAAATATTAGACAAATTAAAGAATTTCTTAGATTAATATTATATTATTAAAAGTTTATTAAGGATTTTTCTAAGATTATCAAATCTTTGAACAGCTTAACAAAGAAAAAAGTTGAATACAACTTGATATAAATATCAAATTTATTTAAAATCTTAAAAGAAAAATTAAAATAAGTTTTAATATTGGAATATTCTAACTTTGATCAAATGTTTATCTTTTACTAATGTTTTAAGATTAGATTAGAAACTGTATTTGCATAAAATAATAAGTAAAAATAGAAAATGTAATCTCTTATATAAATAGAATATTTAATATACATAAACAGAATTATAGTATGTAAGAATTAAAATTTCTAGTAATTATTTAAGCAATAAGTATTTTCATCATTATACTTTCTTAAAACTCTTATCTTGATTAGAAATATGCTTTAATGAAATCTGTTCAATCTGTCATTTAATTTGATCAAAAAATAAATCATCTGAATTATAAATAAATGAATCACAAATAATTTAGATGAATCTATCAGATAATATTAAATTAATTAGATGTTATATAATACTAAATTAATTAGATAATCTAATCCAATCCTAATCTGTTTTATACTTTTTTATTATATTGCTTTTTTTTTAAAATAAACTTATTTTTTTTCTTTAAAAACAAACATAGATATGAACTTGAACTTTAGAATTCACTTAAATAGCTTAAATTTTAATAGCTAACATTCTTTTTATTATTATCTTAAAAATATTATTAATGTTTTTTTTTTCTTTAAGAGACACTAACTTAGTTTTAGATTTATAAAAGATAAGTTAAAATAAAGGATAAATTCAATTTTTTTGAAATGTTACTAATTTTTCTTTTCTTTCTTTTCTTTAAAAAATGCTAATCTGAACTTAGATTTTAACTTAGACTATAAAGGTAAGTTAAAAGAGAGATTTTTATTATTCTTTATTATTAAGAATGTTATTAACATTTTTTTTACTTTTTTTTTTTAAAAAATGTTTTCTTGGATCTGAATTTTAACTTAGGTTATGAAAATAAGTTATGTAGGAAATTGTTTTTATTTTTTCTTTGACTTTAAAATATTATTAACATTTCTTTTACTTTTTTTCTTTAAAGAATACTACATAAATCTAAATTTTGACTTGAGTTATAAAAATAAGTTAGATATGAGTTTTTTTTGTTTCTTCTTTGACTTTGAAATATCATTAATGTTCTTTTTACTTCTTTTCTTTAGGGAGATATCTTTCTAGATCTAGATTTTAACTTAGACTATAAAGGTAAATTAGTATAAGGATGATTTATATTTTTCCTTTAACTTTAAAATGTTATTAATATTTCTTTTGCTTATTTTCTTTAAGAAATATCTTCTTAGATCTAAATTTCAGCTTGAACTAAAAAGGTAAATTAGAGAGTAAAATTTTTTTTTTTTTAGTTTTTAGATAACATTAACATTCCTTTTTTTTCTTTAGAAAATACCTTAAAATTTAGATTTTAACTTAGACTATAAAAGATAAATTATAAAAATTATATATATTTTTTTTTTATCTTTAAAATATTAGATATTTCTTTTTATTTTCTTTGAAATACTTTTCTAAACTTATATTTTAGCTTTAATTTTAAATTGTAAGATGAAAAGAAAAAATTTAATTTAATTTTTTTTTTATTTAGAACTTTTACTTTTTTTTAAAAAATAAAAAATTTTAAAATTATGAGTTTTAGAATTTACAATAAGTTTTATAATTTTAATAAAATAATAATTTATTTATAATAAATTATATGGTTTGTATCACAATAAGCCATCCAATAAATTTATCGAACTTAAAAATGAAATAAAATTTTTTTTAGTGCCTATATTTAAAATATTTCAACATAGTTCGATTGATATTGACTGGTGTTATAAAATGACGTTGAAATTACTCCGATCAGAAATCTAGATAAAAGTTATTAACTGATAAAGTTTAGGTATTTTCTTAAGCGAAAACGGATTTGAAACATATAATTCCAGCCGGAATTATGCTTAATGTAGATCACTTACGTAAATAGTTTAGATTGCATGTGTATATTGATCAACTGATCTATTTTATTTTTCTCACTAATGGGGCGCCTAAAACGACGAACTCAACAGTGTTGAAAGATAGCAAAGAAAAGAGAACTTCAAACTGCGAAAAATAATAACAATACCTATTCCAATTACAATTTAGGTTCGGATGATGGAATTAGCATAGATGATGAAGTTGGGTGGACCGATGAGGATGAAGCGGAGCAGCTTTTTTTAGTTTTAACTAAAAATATGAAAGCATTGAAACATTCCAAATGTCCATTAGTAAATGTAGGAAACTCACGAACAACAAAATACCGAAAAAAAATCCAAGCAATAGAAAATCAAAAGAAA